GTCCAGGATGGAGTAGGCCAGCATGAGATTTCATCATGCTACTCAGGATGGTATGCAATTTAAAGCTTATAAATTATTTCTGGAATTTTCCACTTAATATTTTCAGACTGTGAGTAAATGAAACCAGGGAAAATGAAAACATGGATACGGGGGGACCTATTGTATTGCAAATTCCTCTCCGTAGTGTAGGTGGGCCTCATCGAATCAGTTAAAGCCTAAAAAAAAAAAAAAAAAAAAAGGCTGGCATCCTATCCCTTTCTCCCTAGTGAGGAATTCTGACAGCAGACAGTTTTTATTTTCCTATTTTTTTTAGAGACAAGGTCTCATGCCATTGCTCAGGCTGGTCTTGAAATCCTGGGCTCAAGTGATCCTGCGGCCTTGGCCTTCCAAGAAGTTGGGAGTACAGGTGTGTGCCACAGTGCCTGGCTAGCAGATACCCTTTGAGCTGCAACTCTTCCTGCATCTCTTGCCTGCTGGTCTACTCTGAAGACTGATCATGTGAGCCAATCTTTTAAAATAAAAATCTCTCTTCCCACATACATACACATATACATCTAGATATGTGCACACACATCCTGTTGATTCTGTTCTCGGAGAACTGTGATTAACACTGGCACCACTTATCAAAACTGCTCATACTGGACCAGGCACAGTGGCTCACGCCTGTAATCCCAGCACTTTGGGAGTCCGAGGCGGGTGGATCACCTGAGATCAGGAGTTCGAGACCAGCCTGGCCAACACTGTGAAACCCTGTCTCTACTAAAAATACAAAAAAATTAGCCGGGTGTCGTGGCATGTACCTGTAATTCCAGTTACTCCGAAGGCTGAAGCAGGAGAATCGCCTGAACCCAAGAGGCAGAGGCTGCAGTGAGCCAAGGTTGTGCCACTTCACTCCAGCCTGGGTGACAGAGCGAGACTCCATCTCAAAAAAAACAAAACAAAACAAAACAACAACAACAAAAAACTGCTCATGCTGGTTATGATCCATCCACAAAACAGAATATGCTACACCCACAGGGAAGGATGCAGACTCTTTATGTAATGATATGGAAAGATCTCCAAGATGTATTAACAAAAGTATGTAGAGTGTGCAATTATCTGTGTAAACAAAAAAAGGTGTAAAAATAAAAATTCCCATTGTTTATATTATTTTTTATTTATTTATTTATTTTTTGAGACAGAGTATTGCTCTGTCGCCCAGGCTGGAGTGTGGTGGCGTGATCTTGGCTCACTGCAACCTCCGCCTCCCTGTTCAAGCGATTCTCCCACCTCAGCTTCCCGAGTAGCTGGGACTACAGGGGACTGCCACCGCGCCTGGCTAATTTTTTGTAATTTTAGTAGAGACTGGGTTTCACCGTGTTAGCCAGGATGATCTTGATCTCCTGACCTCGTGATCTGCCCGCCTCCGCCTCCCAAAGTGCAGGGATTACAGGTGTGAGCCACCGCACCCGGCCTCCCATTGTTTATTTTTTAGTTTTTGACACAGGGTCTCACTCTGTCACCCAGGCTGGAGTGCAGTGGTGTGACTGATCACAGCTCACTGCAGCCTCTAACTCGTAGGTCCAACTAATCCTCCTGCCCCAGCCTCTCAAGTGGCTGGGACAGCAGACATATGCCACCAAGTTCAGCAATTTTTTTTCTTTTCCCAATACAGAGTTTTGCTCTGTTGCCCAGGCTAGAGTGCAGTGGTACTATCTCAGCTCACTGCAACTTCTGCCTCCCGGATTCAAGCAATTCTCCTGCCTCAGACTCCTGAGTAGGTGGGATTACAGGCGCCTGCCACCACGACTGGCTAATTTTTGTATTTTTAGTAGAGATGCAGTTTCACCATGTTGGCCAGGCTGGTCTTGAACTCCTGACCTCGTGATCCACCTGCCTCAGCCTCCCAAAGTGCTGGGATTACAGGCATGAACCACTGTGCCTGGCCACATTCGGCAAACTTTTAAATTTTTTGTAGAGACAGGGTCTCCCCATGTTGCCCAGGCTGGTTTCAAACTCCGGGCCTCAAGCAATCCTCCTGCCTTGGCCTCCACAAATGCTGGGATTACAGGCGTGAGCCACCACGACTGGCCCTATTCTTTCTATGTGGTGGTTTGGGGGGGAACCTCTGGAAGGGTACCTAAGAATCTAACAACAGAGGTTACCTATTGGAATAGACTAGTGGGGGAATTAAGTAAATGGGAGACAAGAGAGAAGAGACCTTTTCTTTTAGACTTTTTTTTTTTTTCTTGCGATGGAGTTTCACTCTTGTTGTCCAGGCTGGAGTACAGTGGCACGATCCAGGCTCACTGCAACCTCTGCGTTCCAGGTTCAAGTGATTCCCCTGCCTCAGCCTCCCGAGTAGCTGGGATTACAGGAATACACCACCTTGCCCGGCTAGTTTTGTATTTTTAGTAGAGACAGGGTTTCTCCATATTGGTCAGGCTGGTCTCGAACTGCCGACCTCAGGTGATCCACCCACCTTGGCCTCCCAAAGTGCTGGGATTACAGGTGTAAGCTACCGCACCTGGCTTGTTTTACTCTTTTTTTATACTCTGATAAATGTACATATTCTATGACCCAGCAGTTCCATGCCCATGTAATTACCTTATAAATACACCTCCATATGTGCAAAAGAACACATATACAAGGATATTCTGTTGTGGCATTATTTGTAAGAGAAAAAGAATGGAAACAACCTAGACACCCATCAGCAGGAAACTGATTAAATAAATCATCCATTTGAAATAAAACGGTACATTTGTTACTAAGAATGACGCAATTCTCTGTGTTCTGATATGGAACGATTTCCAAGTTGAATGGAAAAAAGAAAGGTGCAGGACGGTGTGTACATAATGCTACCATTTGTGTGGGAAGAAAAGTGAAACTATACGCATATCCGTTTGCAAATGCAGTTAATGTCTCCAGAACACAGAATAAACTAATAACAGTGGCTGCTTCTGGGGAGGAGAACTGGGTAACTGGGAAACAGTGGTGGGGACGGGTTATTACCTTACACTATACTTTTTGAATCATGGGCATGTTTTATCTATTCAAAACTTTATAAAATTTCTGAGAAGGTATTTGCCGGGCGCGGTGGCTCATGCCTGTAATCCCAGCACTTTGGGAGGCTGAGGTGGGCCGATCACGAGGTCAGATCGAGATCATCCTGGCTAACATGGTGAAACCCTCTCTCTACTAAAAATATAAAAAATTAACTGGGTGTGGTGGCAGGCACCTGTAGTCCCAGCTACTCGGGAGGCTGAGGCAGGAGAATGGTGTGGACCGGGGAGGCAGAGCTTGCAGTGAGCTGAGATCACACAACTGCACTCCAGCCTGGGCGACAGAGCGAGTCTGTCTCAAACAAACAAACAAACAAAAAATTTCTGAGAAGGAGACGTATTGGAGGAGGAGGAGCAGGAAAAGTCACATGCTAGGGTGGGGGCTAAAGCCATCTGTACACAAAGCATTTCAATTTCACATGTTATGCTTTTTCCTGGGGCTTTTAACCTGAGTTTTCCCCGGAATTGCTCTTACGAATTCCAGTACTGGAACAGACACAATTTCACTGGAGACCCAGGATCTTCACAAAATCAGGAGGATAATTTTTAAAGACAAGAGCAAGCACTAGCTCTCTGCAAGGTACACCACTCTTTAATCCATGCAGTAGAAAGACAACTGGATCCAGACCTTTGCTTCAGAACCTTTTTATTCATCATCTAACCAACAGAGGTGGTTGGCTTGAGCTCAAACTAAAATGGCCTCAAAAGGCCCGCCTCGTTACAACATGACAGGGCAAAACCAGAAGTGGGGACAGAGTTTAGCCTCAGTTCTCTGCAGAGAAAACCAAGCATGTATTTACACACAGGTGCCTCATTAAAAACTGACTGGCAATGTTCCACCAGCACAGACCCAGAGTGTGCAGAAATCCGTGGGGGCTCTGTACACGTCATTCAGACAATCCACCGATTCCTCAGCCATAAACAAGCTCTTGCTTTTTGGGAGGAGGGTGATTAGCATGTTATCTTGAATGATGGCACCATGTGTTTACTCTGGAACTTTGAAGGGGAGGTGACAATTTATTTTCTCCCCTGAATCTGAGATGCAGTGGCCTGCCTGTCACAGTGTCTAAAATGTGTCCTGGAAGACAGATAGGTGGTGGAGGTTGCCCTAACACAGAGTTTACGGGGTAATTGTGTTGGGCTCTTTAAGTACTTAATCCTGTTGTTTTTCAGAAACCCTTTGCACCTGGGCTCCCAAGAAGCCAGCAGGGCCCCATGGAGCATCCCACAGGCCTGTGAGTGAAGTGCCTCTCAGAGCAGTCACCCAGGGAAGGGAGGAGGGCAGGGAACGGGGCCAGGGGAGATGCAGGGACAGAAATCAGCAGAAACACTCCATGCTGGTTCTGACTCGCTCCATCTCGTGCAGGAAGCTGTAGAACTGAGGCAAGGTTAATTCTGGGGAGAGAAAATTCAGCTTCAGATAAATGTTTCCAACTCCACAGAATCATCCAAGAAAATTAATTTCCACGCAGAGGATTTTTTTTTTCTTTTTTGGCTTAGTACCTCTAAGCAGTTCTTGATGGGTAATTGATCATAATAAAGAACTGAGAGACTTGAATGCAGAAGGTTCTCTGCTCCATAGGAAAAAAAAAAGGGAGTGAGTGTTCAAATGGCACAGCTCCACAGCACAAAGAGATGAAAGGGTATCATTCGGGATGTTCAGTGGGACTTCTACGGCAAGAGCTTCTTGCTCATCAACCTTCTTCTTCAATCCCAGACATTCTGTTCCCTCCCTTTCCCTTTTTCAAAACGGCTCTTCAACTGTGGGGGCTCCAACCTGCTAATGGCTTTCTAACACTCCTTGTGCCATCTTTTAGGAGGGGAAAGGCAGTGGAACAGCTACTCCACAGCTGGCAATGACTGTTTTATAGAAGACATGATTTGTGGTGAGTGTCACCAGCCCCTGACTGCAGAGAACATGGAAAAGGTGAAGAGGTTCAAGAGGGAATTCAGACTCACCTATATACACATTTTCGGTTTGATTTCCTTTCTTAACCACCAACTTTAGCTGATGAAAGAAAAAGAAATAATTTAAATTAAAATGACAACTGGGCAAATAAATTAAAACCCTTTGACTTAATTAAGCTTCCAACCTGAGAGTCCTACAGGAGCAGTATGGATCATCCACCACTGAAAATTCTAACAATTCCCATGATTACAGGAACAATCACATGTCAATGAATCATACTAGGATCTACTCATCTGAAAGTAGGCATGTTAGTGACCACATCTGTAGCTGGCCACACTGCTCTGAGATAGATATATAAGGTACTTCAGTAAAACATCCATTTAAATGGATATTTAAATGGATGGATATTTAACCCAATGTAGATTTGATAATTTTTAACCAAGTCAAAAATCTACCCATTTTCAAGGATCAGGAGAAGACTTACTTGTAAAAATATACTTCCCACTTTCTCCAATTCGCTGCTCCCAGATGTCACTGTGACAAAAAAAAAAAAAAAAAGAGAGAGAGAAAAATAACAAGTGACTGATTGAGGACTGACCCTGAAGACCCCAGTTTTGCAGTTGTCCAGCAGAAGCCATGTGGGGGCAAGTATGAGGGCAGCAAGGTGTACTTCTGGAAAGTCAACTTATCCAGAGCCATGAATTGAAACAGCTACTGAATGTGGGCAGAATACAAAACAGCAGGTGCTGCCTGAACAGTGCCTTCCCCACAGTGGCTGTGTCACAGCCTCTGCACCCCGACCCTGTACCACCCAAATAACCCAGGACTGGTTGTAACTAGTTACCTCCAAATTTCCACTCCATATCTATGAGCTGGTTAATCATCAGAGTCTGACCAATGGCCCACTGAGCAAGGGTGGGAGCATTCTGCTTCCACTGGAACAAAAGCAAAAGCCAAAGTCAATTACAATAGGAAGAATCTCCCCCTCTCCATCCTGCCCCAACACTGCAATATTTAGCATTGACACAGATAGTGGGGAGGGTGCAGAACCAAGGGCTCAACCTATATGCACATACCTAGGGATGGAGGAGGGTACAGAGTGGCAGACCACAACATTAATGTTGTATTTTTCATTCCAAGATTTAATCCATCTTGGAATAAAAACTGTGCTGCCATCATACTGGCCCCCACATGGCTTCTACTAGACAATTGCAAAATTGGGGTCTTCAGGGTAAGTTCTCAATCAGTCACTTGTTATTTTTCTTTTTGTCACAGTGACATCTGAGAGCAGTAAACTGAAGAAAGTAGGAGGTATATTTTTACAAGTAAGTCTTCTCCTGATCCGTGAAAATGGGCAGATTTTTGACTAGGTCAAATCAGGAAAAATGATTAGAGATGCACTGAATAGCGCTGGTTAATGCTGTGCGTATGACACTCGCTTGAAGCCAAATGAAAACCTTAGGCTGGGGAAATGATAATACTGATGGATGGTTTCGGCTTACTTGGCATTTTCCGTTGTTTTCTCTCTTTGTGATATAAAAGCAAGGGGCTGGGCGTGGTGGTTCACGCCTGTAATCCCAGCACTTTGGGAGGCCGAGGAGGGTGGATCACCTGAGGTTGGAAGTTCAAGGCCAGCCTGGCCAACATGGTGAAACCCCGTCTCTACTAAAAATACACAATTTGGCCGGGTGCGGTGGCTCATGCCTATAATCCCAGCACTTTGGGAGGCTGAGGCGGGTGGATCACAACGTCAGGAGATAGAGACCATCCTGGCTAACACGGTGAAACCCGTCTCCACTAAAAATACAAAAAATTAGCCGGGTGTGGTGGCAGGTGCCTGTAGTCCCAGCTACTCGGGAGGCTGAGGCAGGAGAATGGTGTGAACCCGGAGGCGGAGCTTGCAGTGAGCCCAGATCGCGCCACTGTACTCCAGCCTGGGCGACAGAGTGAGACTCTGTCTCTAAAAAAAAAAAAAAAAAAAATACAAAATTAGCCAGGCATGGTGGCACATGCCTGTAATCCCAGCTACTTGGGAGGCTGGGGCAGGAGAACTGCTTGAACCCAGGAGGTGGAGGTTGCAGTGAGCCGAGATTGTGCCATTGCACTCCAGCCTGGACAACGAGAGCGAAACTCTGTCTCGAAAAGAAGAAAAGAAAAGAAAAAAGAAAAGAGGCCAAGCACGGTGGCTCACGCCTGTAATCCCAGCACTTTGGGAGGCAGAGGTGGCGTGGATCACGAGGTCAAGAGTTCGAGACCATCCTGACTAACACACAGTGAAACCTCATCTCTACTAAAAATACAAAAAACTAGCTGGGCATGGTGGCATGTGCCTGTAGTCCCAGCTACTCAGGAGGCTGAGGCAGGAGAATCACTTGAACTCGAGAGGCAGAGGTTGTGGTGAGCCGAGATCACGCCACTGCACTCCAGCCTGGGCAGAAAGCGACTACCTTTAAAAAAAAAAAAAAAAAGCAAGGGATCTTAATTAACCTTGATTAAGAGGAATTATACCTTTTCAGAAAAGTAAGTGGCTTTCTCCTCACTAAGGCCTACAAGAGAACAGAAGGAGATATTAACATAATAAAAAGCCTCAGAAGCCAGTCACCCTGAGCAACCTTGGCCAATGACCTACCCAGAGTTATAAAATCCGCCTGGACCTGCTTGGCTGTGAGGCTCTTCTTCAAAGCACCTGGGAGGCAGGGGAGAAATCAGTTAGAAAGGCAGACCAGTGAATTAGTCAGCAACAAGTATTTAATAGGCACAACGTATGTGACCTAAAGGACAAAAGGAACACTCAAAGACTGGCCAGCTCCAAGAAGATCTCAATCCAGCCACGGGGAAAGAGCATCCGAAATGACCAGAAAACAAGAAAGACAGTACATTTTTAAATTTATTTATTTTATTTTAAAAATATATTTATTTTTTTTAAATGAAGTCTCGCTCTGTCGCCCAGGCTGGAGTGCAGTGGTGCAATCTTGGCTCACTGCAACCTGTACCTCCTGGGTTCAAGTGATTTTCATGCCTCAGCCTCCTGAACAGCTGGGACTACAGGCGTGCACCACCACACCCAACCAATTTTTGTATCTTTAGTAGAGACTGGGTTTTACCATGTTGACCAGGCTGGTCTCGAACTACTAACCTCAAGTGATCTGCCCACCTCGGCCTCCCAAAATGCTAGGATTAAAGGGGTGAGAGCCACCATGCCCGGCGCATTTTTTTTTTTTTTTAAATTGTACAACACAATTATTTATCCCTCCAGCAAGTGTGAGAGAAGTAAGAGACAACAGAAAAGACTTCACGGTCTTGGGGTTGGAACAAGTGGTCTGAGCAATGAGTAAGGCTATGAATTCCTGGAGCAAAAGGCAGGGGAGCGTAATGTCAGGTTGGGCACAGGGGGCAACCACCTAGAGCCCCACAATGCATTATGTAGCCACTATTGCATGTGGTTATGCAAAGTTGTTTTTTTTTTTTTTTTTTTTTGAGACGGAGTCTCGCTCTGTCGCCCAGGCTGGGGTGCAGTGGCCGGATCTCAGCTCACTGCAAGCTCCGCCTCCCGGGTTTATGCCATTCTCCTGCCTCAGCCTCCCGAGTAGCTGGGTCTACAGGCGCCCGCCACCTCGCCCGGCTAGTTTTTTCTATTTTTTAGTAGAGACGGGGTTTCACCGTGTTAGCCAGGATGGTCTTGATCTCCTGATCTCGTGATCCGCCCATCTCAGCCTCCCAAAGTACTGGGATTACAGGCTTGAGCCACCACGCCCGGCAGCAAATTTTAATTAAATAAAATTTAAAATTCCATTCCTCAGTCTCACTAGCTATTTCCTGTGTCAAACGATCACACAAGGCCAGGGACCATTGTATTGAACACTGAAGATTACAGACCATTTACATCTGCAGAGAAAGTTCTATCGGATGGCGTTATCCTAGGAAATTAGCTTTCACGCAGTACACCAAGATGGACCAAACAGACTAACCTCTACAATTCACAAGTCACTTCCGGAGGGGATGTCAAAACTTCTCAGAAGCCCTAGGAACACGCCCCTGTGGTGGCCACCTTGTTTTGCTAGGCTCCAATTCCTGAAAACAAAGCCAGCAATCTGGGCTTCTCAATGTTTAACCTGCAGGCTACATCTCCAGTCAGAATTTGGCAATCACTCTCAAATTTTCCACTTTTTAGTTCACCAGAAAATGACTAATTAAATAGGAAGATGCCCACCACCATCAAGGGAAGGCCCTGAACCTATACCCTAAACCCAAGTCCCCACCCCCACCTCACTCCAGAAAAACAATCCTAAAGGCTGTTGTACCGGTAAAATCAACCATATAAACAAAGGGAGGAAATCTTTTATCTCCAAAATCAGAGTGAGCAAGGAAGCCACACAGAATAAAAAAGGCAAGACCCCAGGAAACCGTAGCCATAAAGGCCCTCTGAGAAGGTGGCTACTTCCCAGCCAATCCAATTAACTCATAACTACCATGAATATAGCTTCTTGGTTTATACTGAATTCAAATCCAATACCTTATTTGACAATCCCAAAACACTGGGCTTTATTATTGTAATTTTTTTTTTTTTTTTTTGAGACAGTGAGATGGGGTTTCACTCTATCGCCCAGGCTGAAGAACAGTTGGGCAATCTCAGCTCACCTCCCCCCGCCCGGCGGGATGCTCAAGCAATCCTCCCACCTCAGCCTCCCACACAGCTGGGATTACGACGCCCAGCTAATTTTTTTAATTTTTGTAGGGACAGGGTCTTGCCAAGTTGCCGAAACTGGTCTCAAACTCCTGAACTCAAGCAATCCACCCACCTTGGCCTCCCAAAGTGCTGGGATTACAGTCAGGAGCCACCATGCTCAGCTATTATTTTAACTTTATTTACCAGGAAAGATTAAGCATTTTTGGGAGAAAATCTGTCAAATCCAGATAGTCAAGAATTGTACTGCCAAGAATTCACCCAACCAAGCTGCACCCAAAAGCACGCTGAGATATACAAGGGAAGCTCTTTAGCAATGTGGATAGTAGGGACGAAAGGTCATGGAGAGACCAGGCACAGTGGCTCACGCCTATAATCCCAGCACTTTGGGAGGCCGAGGTAGGTGGATCACTTGAGGTCAGTAGTTCGAGACTAGCCTGACCAACATGGCAAAACCCCATCTCTACTAAAAATACAAAAATTAGCCAGGCATGGTGGCACACGCCTGTAGTCCCAGCTACTTGGGAGGCTGAGGCAGGAGAATCGCTTGAACCCAGGAGGCAGAGGTTGCAGTGAGCCGAGATGGCGCCACTGCATCACAGCCTGGCGACAGAGCAAGACTCTGTCCCCCCCCCAAAAAAAATAGAAAAAACAAAACAAAACAAAACAAAAAAACAGGCTGGGTACTCGTTACACAATTAGCTGGGAGGCTGAGGCAGGAGAATTATCTGAGCCCGGGAGGTAGAGGTTGCTGTGAGCCGAGGTCTTGCCACTGCACTCAAGCCTGGGCAACAGAGCGAGACTCCGTCTCAAAAACAAACAAACAAACAACAACAAAAACAACAAACAAAAACTCAGGTCAGACCATGTCTTTTTTTCTGCTCAAAGCCCTCTACTATCTCCTATTTCACTCACAGTAAAATCCAAAGGTTGTACAATACCCTGCATGCTCTGGCCTCCTCTTAGAACCCCTAGGCTCTCTCCCTTGCTTACTCTGCTATTTTTAGAATATGCCAAGCAGCTTTCTACCCCCCGCCATTTGCCCTTGCCGTTCTCTGCACACAGCTCATCCCTTCGCTTCATTCAGGGTTGTGCCTGATTCTTATCTCCTCAGAAAGGATCCCTGACCATTCTATTTTACATTTTTTCTTTTTTTTTTTTTTTTTTTAAATCTTATTTAAAATAAGATTTTACCCAGGCTGGACTGCAGTGGTGTAATTACGGCTCACTACAGCCTTGACCTCCTGAGCTTAATGGATCCTCCCACCTCAGGCTCCTAAGTAGCTGGGACTAGAGGCACGCCCCACCATGCTTGCCTAATTTTTAATATTTTTTCTAGAGATAGAGTCTCACTATCTTGCCAGCCTCGAACTCCTGCACTGAAGCAATACTCCTACCTCAGCCTCTCTAAATGCTGGGATTATAGGCATGAGCTGCCAAGCCCAGCTTCATTCTATTTTAAATAGCACTGCCCTTTACTCATACTCCTATAATGCTGTGGAATATTCTGCATTGCATTTATAACTACCCAACTTTATGTTATATATTTATTATCAAGTTTTCCACTAGAACATCAGCTTGATAAGAACAAAGACTAGGCTCATTTTGCCTACTGCTGTGTCCCAAGCTCTGAGAGAAATGCCTGGCAAAGTTTATTGGTTGGCAGTCAATAAAAACATGTTGAATGCAAGAATCCTTACAATGGAACGCTATCCAGGCTTTTAAAAAATTATGTAAGGCCAAGTGCTGTCATTCCAGCACTTTGGGAGGCTGAGGTGGGAGGATACTTGAGCCCAGGGGTTCAAGACCAGTCTGGGCAACACAGGAAGACCCTATTCTATAAAATAAAAAAAATTAGCAAGGTATAGTGGCATGGACCTGTGGTCCCAGCTACTCAGGAGGCTGAGGTGGAAGGATGGCTTGAGCCCAGGAGGTTGAGGCTATAGTAAACCATAATTGCATCACTGCACTCCAGCCTATGCAACAGAGTGAGACCTCATTAAAAAAAAAAAAAAAAAAAAAAAAAAGAGGTAGCTCAGTAGCTCTTGATGGACCAATCTGTATAATATAATGTCAAGAAAAAAAGGAAAGGCACCTATAATCCCAGCACTTTGGGAAGCTGAGGTGAGAGGACTGCTTGAGGCTAGGAATTTGAGACTAGCCTGGGCATCATAGCAAAACCCTGCCTCCATAAAAAAATAATAAAAAATTACCTGGGTGTGGTGGTGCACACCTGTAATCCAGCTGCTCAGGAGGCTAAGATAGGATGATCGCTTGAGCCCAGGAGTTTGAGGCTACAGTGAGCCATGATGGCACCACTGCACTCCAGCCTGGGTGACAGAGCAAGACTCTATCTCTAAAAATAAATAAATAAAAATAAGTGTTACTTTGGCCGGGCGTGGTGGCTCACGCCTGTAATCCCAGCACTTTGGGAGGCTGAGGCGGGTGGATCACATGAGGTCAGGAGTTTGAGACCAGCTTCGTCAACACGGTGAAACCCCGTCTCCACTAAAAATACAAAAATTAGCTGGGCATGGTGGCACACACCTGTAGTCCCAGCTACTTGGGAGGCTGAGGCAGGAGAATCACTTGAACCCGGGAGGCAGAGGTTACAGTGAGCCGAGATCACACCACTGCACTCCAGCCTGGGTGACAGAGTGAGACTCTGTCTAAAAAAAAAAAGGAAACAAAGCCAAGTGGCTTATAGGCCAGAGGGTCCCCACACCAAGTTCTTTCTAACACCAGGTCATTCTCAGAAGCTATCTTGGTGCTGCGGTACCAGGCAATGCCTTGACAGTTGTTGACAATGAAGGCAACAAAGCTGCAGGGAACGAAGAGCAAGCTCTCCATCCTGAAGTTACCTCGGGAGGGCAGAGGCCAGACCTGAAACATGGATTGGCATCATGCTAGGTCTCAAGTGCTTAACCTCTTTTTCAGCTTTTTCCTTTGGTGATTCCTTTGTCCTAAGCAAATACCAGCCACAAGACAGACCTTCAACCTTT